AGGGTTTAATATGATTATAACAAGTAGCAATAAAATTCTAGAACTCAATTTATGTGCAGAGAGATTTCAATTTCCGATTTCGCAATCAAAGCCAATTGGAATAAAAAGTTGTTATCTCTCTAAATCATTCAAGTGCTAAAATAATTGAGGGTTCTTAAAGTCCACAAAAAACTACAGATAGGTTGACGCAGCACATTTAAAAGGTTCATTGCTGTTCTTCCTTATCTCGGAGGTTGGGTGGGGCTCTAAATACTCAGCTCAAAAACATTAGGGAAATAGAAATTGTCAAACCGACCTGGTCCACCCAACATGCCATCAGAGGAATATAATTGAAAAAAATAAGAAGAAGAAGAAGAAGAAAATAGTCCAGGCCAGCTCATTGAAGGGAAGAAGGGAAGCCTGATGAGACATTGGTCATTCCCCACACTATCTGGTTTTGGTCTAACAACATCTTTGACTCATTTTGCTCTCATGTGAAAAATGAGCTTAGCTAGCAACAACTAATTGCAATTAACTCCTTCCAAATCAATGTACATACTGTTTGTTCATACCAAATGATGAGAACAGTAGCGCAAGGGGTACGCAGGCAGCGGTTGTTTAGCCACTGATGCAAGTGAGTTCTATAATGCATCAACAATTGACTGTCGCTGCAGTCTACTGCCTTTGGCGCAATTTTAGGTTATTCGAGGGGACAAAAGAAAGTGAAACCAGACAACCAAATGTGTGTCAATAGTGTAGCACTATAGAAGTTAAAGATCTTTTGGCCATAACATGTGATCATTTAACCTATGCAAAATTGTTGGTCTTCAAGATTTGGAACAATTCTGGGCCCACGCCATTGATGCCAAAGGTGCTGTGACTTGCAAGATAACTTAGTACTTCTTGCCATGGCACCTTGGCATTCGGCAACTTGTTAGCTAGCCTTCAAAGAGAGTTTGGAAATACCATGTTTAGAGTTTGCCCAATACTTGACTAGGCAGCCAGGCTGGGCCCACTGGGACTGCCTCTGGAAAATGTGGGCCCCTTTTTTACCAAGGCCTTTTGACCATCTTACTTATAAGGCTCAAGCCCATGTGACATGCTCACTTGAAGACTATTTATTTATTTATTTATGACGGCACCATGACGTCAAGTGTAAAAGGGTTGACGCCACTATGTGAATAGCGGGAATAATACGGCGTCGCTTTGGTGGTTGATTTTGCTTTTACGTGTGCGATAAAATCTTTCCCGGCAATGAAATTAAATCACGAGAATTTGATATTGTACATTTTTCCGGAGGAGAAATGGTAAGGTGACACGTAAAGCAGTCGACAAGTGAAATGGTGGGGCCACTGGTGTGACGTGTCGGTATCAGGAGATAGATAGGACCACTGTATGATGATAATAGTCGGCGTCGCCGGATTTGCTTTAAGACCAAGTCCGAATACTGCCAAAATATAACTTTTTGATGTTCAATTCTGTAATTGCCCCGCTGTTGCTTTTGAATTACGCTCGTATGCCCCTCCTGTGTAGCAAAATTCAAAACTCAGTCGACAAAATTGACCTGTGAGTCTGAGGAGGTGATGATGATGATCCATTTTACATTAAGAAAATAATTATTCGTAATGCTCGAAGTTTCTAAGGAAATCATTTTTTTAGTATCAGTCGTCAATTTTTCAATCCACTTTTTGATCAGGGGATGTTAGCGTGGCGATTTGTATGGCTTTTGAGCGATTGTCAGCAAATGTGATTTTTATTGTCGAATTTACCACGAGATGTATGTGATTTTTTTATTTTTTTTGGGGTAAATATCACGATATGTCCCTATATCTGAATAGGGGAATTAATTTCAGCTCGGGGTTTGACTTACCCCTAACTATAAAGTGTTTCCAACGAATTTCAAATTCCTGCTTTGAGGCACCAGGTAACTCGCCAGCTAGAGGTGATAGTTTGCTAATTGCACCACATCTTGTGATTAATGAGTGCTTCCAACGGATTTCGAATCCTTGTCATTGAGGCACCAGGTAACTTGCTAGCTAGAGGTGACAGTTTGCTAACCGCACCACACCTTGTGGTTAATGATTCATACCCTAGTGAATGAATATAAGATTGAACATGGCAAGAAGAATGAAGATTAAGAACTCAGCCTTGCTTTTAACTCAATTAATTCTGATCACAAACTCCAAAATCCGAAGAAAAATAATGTATGGGTTTTTCCATATGCACCTCTTTAGGTTAACGACCCAAAAAAAGTGGTAAACTTCGGGGGTGGAAGAGGAAGCCAAAATGGGACGTGAAAAATCTGAAAGATGATGACAGAGAGATCCCCTCTGCAAAAACGAGAGAGAGAGAGAGAAGCAGCAGTACTATTTGGGATTGACTTCTTGTGAGGGCCAAAGGGGAGAGATTGGTTAGGTCTTGTTCACATGCAAATACAGAAGCTTTTTTTCTCTGGGCCATTGAAGATGGGGTGTGTCATTTCACGAGCTTTGTCCTTCAAAAGGACAACCCCATCACCTTTTCAAGAGGACCTTTGCGTCTTTAATGCTACCATACTGTCCCGGGGTCCACTATTTATTGCCTACCTTTATAATTTCCCTTTTAATTTGGAAGAATTGGTCTAACAAAGAAACTCAATTCAATCAGTGGTTGATTGTTATTTGTTACGCACTTTGCCTCCCTTGCAAACCCTCTCTCTTTCTCCTTAATTAATGTCCTTGGTGAAGAAGATAACTCAGAATTAGTTTCGGCTTGGTTTGTGTTTATATATACATGCATGCTACACATGCGTCACTGAATGTCAACTATTGATGCATGTAAATTTGTATAAACTTAATATTCATATTCATCGATGATTGATGACAACAACGTTATAGGTTATACTTGGATTCATTAAGGCAATTAATAGACACATAACCAACTTTTCTTCCCCTTATTATTTTGCTATGGGCATGACATGGAGAGTAGAAAACGAGTTATTTCTCCCATGTTGTGGTTCTTAACTCCTAAGGGCTACTTATTCAAAAAGTTTGCCTGCTCAAATTTGTGAAACATCCTACAATCCTATATGATGCACAATCAATTCAATACGCAAGAAGACAACATATAGATGCCATTAGATAGGGTGATTGAAAACACAATAAATTAAAGGGGGTATGGAAATGTTAGGTTTACTTAGTTACAAGACTACCCAATCTCTGAGTGGATTGTGGACTTGCAAGTTGCAACTGCACCCACAAGATTCTCTGAAGTCTATAGCTACCTTCCAACATAGCTGTTTTACCTCCCCCCCTTGTCTTTCAGTCAACTTATAATTCACCCCACATGCATCGTTTTACCCTAAGCTTTGCCTTAATTTCTGCAATCTTTAATTCACTGTGTTTTAAGATTTTGCTTTAAAAAGAACCAATAAGATTTGGACCTAATCTTGTTGATAGGATAAGACATTGAAAGTGTTGTTAGCAATTAAAGTAAAAAGGTTTCCAACCATTATTACCTCAATTTCTTATTTATTTCATGCCTTAACAAATCCAAGTATTGAATATTGATGTGACCTCCTCAGTTTCTAATCTTACCTTCTATCTATAGTGAGATTCTTTGGACTCTTTGCAAGCATACCTTTCCCAAATTAGCATACCCATAATTTCCATACAGCTCAAAAATCTTCATGTACAGAGAATGTAGTTATGAATCTACATCAACCTTCTATCTATAGTGAGATTCTTTGGACTCTTTGCAAGCATACCTTTCCCAAATTAGCATACCCATAATTTCCATACAGCTCAAAAATCTTCATGTACAGAGAATGTAGTTATGAATCCACATCAGGATAAATTATCGCTTGTATAAAACCATGTTAATTAATAGTTGTTTTATGATAAATTTCACATGCATCAACGACTGATAATCATATAAGTACGGAGATGTTTACGGAGCTAGTGGCTAAGCAACTGGGTACACAACTTGTTTAACATTGAATGGTTCAAACTCCACAAAGTCAAATAATCGCTTGATGTATAATACGAAGCTTAGAAGAAATGATACAATGAGACGATGATATTATTCACAGATGCAGATATGAGCTTTAGCATTGATGCAAAAGGCAAAATCTCTCTGCTGCTGATGCACCTGCACGAGACGAAGCTAAACGAGAAAAGAAGGCAAAACTTGTTGGAAAGAGAGAAGACGCGTGGCAGCAGGAGTTATGGAGAGTGTGGACTTTAACAGCGAGAGCTGACTCTCTATAATAAATCGACAAAGTAGCTTTTTGAACAGAAGTGGGGACCACCGACCACACGGAGAGTGAAACCAAAATCTTACAAGATACACATTCACAATCACAATATACAGTTCAATTACACCTTTTTTTGTTTCTAGATCTTTCCTGCTTTTACAATAACACCCTTCGTATCTTTCTTCATAATATCATACTTACTAGTTTTTGAGCCTTTGGTTATGATTTTGTGGAGAAAGAGAAGGGTTCCAAAGCAAGTTAACAATACCAAACACATGCTGGACAATAAAAATTAGGCTCCCAAAGCTTCTTGATGTAGATCGAGCTAATACCCTCCCTTGCTTGCAAGCTTACAATCTCACTTTACACGTATAAATCAAAAGTTTGATATAATGTTAGACAATCACTAAACTTAAAAGTTTAAGTTGTTACAAAATAAACTATATCAATTTAACACATTCACTTCATTAAATTAAAACCGTACTATATCAAGTTAACAATACTCAACACAGAATTTGGGATTGTAAAAGAAAATAAGGAGAGAAACTCTTATTCTTCAATTGACCAAAGGAATGAAACCAAAAGGAAAAACAAAACAAAAAAAATAAAAATAATCCAACACAATTTTGGCTCACTTTCCGCATAAAAGGGCAAAATAGTCATATCCAACATGTGGGTTGAGGTAAGTTGGACCAAATTTCAAACCATGTAAAATTTTGAAGTTGTGAACAGAGGTTATAGAAGTTAAAAGCTCAGCAATAAACTGCAGCTATAAATAAGGACACCCTTCAGCCTTTAAGCATAGTAATCCATAATCTTGCTCTAAACCTAAGCAAGAACAAAAAAAAAAAAGTCCCATCTTTCTCTCTCTCTCTCTCTCTCTCTCAGAGGGCCAGAGCTTCCAAAGCTTCTGCCTTTCTTTTTCTTCTGCAACTCTACCTTGCTCTTCTTTTGAGCTCTCTGCTCTGCTTAGCTCTTTCATCTCATCTGCAAATTGTTTGTTTTTCACTTCTGGTTCTTTAGGAAAAGGGACTTATTTTCAGTGCCCTGTTTCCTACAGATTAAATATTTGCTTCAATTTTTTACCAAAACTATGGACACAATGCAAGACAGTAAGCTAGCTTTTGGGTTTTCTGCCACCATTGACATCCGATCTTCACTCTCAAATCTCATCTTAACAAGCAACACAAACACCTTGGACTCAATTTTCTCCCATTGCCCACAAGCACTCTCCACCACCCCCACCACCACCAGCAACAACAGCTCTGTTTCTGAGCCACTGGGTTCATCAGTTTACCTTCGCCAGAGAGACCTTCTCCAGAAGTTCTGCGACGAAAGCCGGGCAAACGCCACCGTTTCACGCTTTTTTCAGAAGAACCCAGTTCAGAGCTCTGCTTGTTCTTCAACCTCTTACATGGCTCCATGCAAGAAGAAGCTCTACAGGGGAGTGAGACAGAGGCATTGGGGCAAATGGGTCGCTGAGATCAGGCTCCCTCAGAACAGAATGAGGGTCTGGCTTGGCACATACGACACCGCCGAAGCCGCCGCATATGCTTACGATAGGGCGGCTTATAAGCTTCGAGGAGAGTATGCAAGGTTGAATTTTCCCAATCTTAAGGACCCAAGTAAGATGGGTTTTGGAGATTGCGCTAGATTGAACGCTGTGAAGACCTCCGTGGATGCAAAGATTCAAGCGATTTGCCAGAAGGTGAAGAGAGAAAGAGCCAAGAAGAATGCGAATAAGAGCAGTAATTCCAGTGAGAATGAGAAGGCTGTGATGAAGGTGGATTCGTCGGCGTCGGGTTTTGGCGACGGTTCTGGTCAAGAATTGGTGTCTTTTACAGCAACACCAACAGCAACACCAACAGTTTCTGAAGATGGGGTTTGGAGGTGTGAGAATTCACCACCCTCTATTTCAACAGAGTGGTCAATGGGGATAGCAGAGGACTCAGAATTTGAAGGCTGCTCACTTGCAAGAATGCCTTCCTATGATCCTGAGTTGATTTGGGAAGTTCTTGCAAATTAGAAGAGTCTTAATTTTCTTAATCTTGGGTGTTTAGATTAAAATTTCAAATTAAGGGTATATAAGTAAGTAGCTGTACTACTAGTAGTAAGTCAATTTCTGTTTGTTTAGTTTAGTATTAGTGGTAAAGTGTAAATTGGTAGTTTATTCTTACAAGAGGAGCCATCTGAATATGTTTTGTTTGTTTTTGTTTTCGGTTTCTAAGTTTGGTTGGGGTTAATTATTTATGTTTTGGCCCTTTTGTTTGTGGCCCTGTATTTGTGCCTTGTTTTTGTACACCAAGGCACTTTGCCAGTCATATGAAATGTCTGAGGGCACCTTGAGTTGTGTTATTTATGGATTAAGTGGTGATTTAATGAATGTTTAAAGTTCTTGCTACATATATAAACCAAAATTCTCAAATTTTTGATCTCCAAAATTATACCTAAAATCAACCAACGGATCTAACCCAATGAAAAATGGCATTGACTTGCGGACAAGAAGTCGGGTTTGAACCCACATGGCATCTTTATTTGATGTGTGTGTGAGGATTCCGTCTCTCCTTTAGTTTAGACTATCGCTTGTAATAAAAAGTAGAAAGAAAAAAAAACAAATCCCAAAGTGGTGATGGTGAAATGAGGTGAGCCACGTCAGTGAAGAAGAAAGGCCTTATCCTTATTGCTGTGAAAATGGAGATGAGGTTGTTTTGTGGTCCTCCAAAGACCAGTTGTGCCTATTGGAGAAGAAACACCATGTGAACGTTATGTCTCTTCAGATTGGCTTCTTCATCATCATCCTTTCAAGAACTGACAACACACACATATATATAGGAGGAGGCAGTTCCGTGTTGTATCATCCCCCATTTTTACCATTTAAGTATATTTATGCATGACGAAAATGGAAATTGAAATGATGGATCATATAAGAGATCAGTTCCAATGGGAAATCAGAATGGAGATATTAAAGCTGTGGTGATTGTAATAATGAAATAGGTATGTCTATAAATTTAGGTGGCATATAGAAACTGGTTGTTAGTTTTTGTTTTTTTCCCTATGAACAAAGTGAGGAAGGGAGATTCGAACTCGGACTATCATATACATGTGATGATGGTAACTATACACTCCACATGATTTTCTGGACATTTTGCACTGGAAACAAAAAAAGAAGAATAATTGCAACAGGAATATTTTTAAAAAAAAGATATACGTGTGCTGTTTGGTGAACAAAGTGTCATGGCATTTACAAATAGATGTCAGTACGTTGATAAATCCTGATTGTCTTTTGAAAATATAACTCCACATCAACTGGACCACAGAAAGTTGGGACAATTCCACAAGATGAATTATAATTGTATTGTAGCAAACAGTTCTACCAACTAAAGGAGTTCTTCGACTGCTGCAGTTTCGCATTGTATGAACTTTCCATCTCCTCCTGCAAACATTCATGAATAACAATACCTATTAATAGATAAGAACACAACTAAGTCTGAAAAATAATTTTTGTTTTTGGTATCAAATTAGGACTTTGTGGAATGTTCTGTTCTACTCTAGAGAACTAGATCCTTCAACATGACGAGATGATTCTGGTTTATGAACAATCTTTCATGCATAATTAAAATAAAAATGTTTTGTTAGTTGCTTACGTACCTTGCAAGATTTTAGCAGAGGCTGCAAAAATGAGGATCTGAAAAACCTTATTGATTTTCCAAGTGACGTTCTGTCCCACTCTGTGATAAAGTAAAAGATATACAACACCATCAATCACAAAAGCAAAATATATTTCAAGTGGCTCTTAGTGCAGGTTCACCTGCAGTAAACAGGAAAATTTCTAGCTTTTCCTACATCAAAATTGCCTAATCAATAATCATACATGATACAACCTCCCAACGACATCATTTTTCCGTCTAGGTATAACCTCCTATGCTAAATTAGAGTCAATGCTAGATGAAATGAAAGAAATGTGATGTCACTTGACGCACCATTATCAGCTTCTGCTCTTAGACCTCCAATATTGAGTTGTTCTAAAAGCTGCAGATTAAACATAAAAATCAAGTAAGATACATAAAACTCAAAAGACAATGAATTGTGAGAAAAAACCAGCTTACATAATGTACAATTTATTGCAATAAAAAGGCATGCACATCATCTTTTTGGTTACAAAATATCCAGACCCGCAATGTTACAAGACACGGAGTGCTAGGCAACTAGGCTACAACATGTCCATAGGTTGAATGCAGCTGACTGCAGATGTAAAGATGCTGAAGTAATATACAAGAAAAGATACCATCAGAAATGAATGTATTCCTAAAACGGTAGTAGTAGTATCACTTGAAGATGAAATAAGGGAAAATTGTTTAAAGGGGTTTGAACATGTACAACGGCAACCTAGCAATGCAGTTTTACGAAAGAGTGATTTGATTAAAGTATAAGGTTCTAAGGGAAGATGATGACCAAAAACGTGGTCAGAGGTAATGTGGATGGACATGAATGTGAAAGGTGTGATTGAGGCTAAATTCGTTGATATAGTGGAATGGAAAAAAGGACTCATGTAGCTGACCCCGCAGTAGAATTAAGGCTTAGTTTAGTTATATTTTCAGAGCATTCTTGTCATATAAAAGGTTCGGCAGAGAAAGCACCAGTGCATATTGTTGCATCCTATACAGGTTAGATCACATAAAAACCACCCTATGGTCAAAATTATAATATTATATCAAATTTGCCATCTTACATGGTTGAATATGTATTATGTAGAAAGTTCGACTAAAAATAACAGAATCACCCACCAAGAAAACATATATGCAAAGAAGAAGAAAACTGGAAGTCAAGTACATATTTACGTTGGAAAGGGTTGGTACTGCAGTAGGATCAAATTCCTCACAATGGTTTGGATCAATTGGAACACAGACACGACCTGGAACAAAGAAATAAAATAAACTGAGAAACATTAAGAATATCCAAATGCCTAATACTTATCAATTGGGGGGAGGGTAAAAAGTGGTTAAGGGCCCGAAAAAATTCATAAAATACGATCAATCAGACCCTGTACCACCAGAAAAACAAACTCCACCGGGACTAACCTGTTTTTGGATGTACACAGAATGGTGCCTTTAACAAATGGTTCATATGTTTTGAAACCTACCACAAACAGATTCTTTTAGCATATATTTCTGATGTAGTTAGTTTATGCTCACTACTAGTTGAATAACAGGAGGCAGTAAAAGAAAGTGGGGCTGTTGTGCATACCTCCATGTCAAGCCTAGGGTAGGTAAAAGAGAACACAATCTCTTCAACACACCTACGCAGTCCCTGCACCTTAAACAATAAATGATTAAAAGTAAAATTAAGTTCACTACAGGCTTAATTACAATTTCAAACATCAAAATCCGATTTCACAGACTAGGATCATTGTCCCAGAACAATGCACTTTTGGTACATACACTCACAAACATCTGCTATTTGTACCTTATGTTTTCCAGATTGCAGCATGTTTTTCAGCTGCTCCCATCTAACAACATTAATGTCATCTTTTGAATTAGCGGTTCTTCTCTTTTCCTGCCATTTCCCGCGAAGCTCAGAAGTAATAGCTGCAAGGATAACAAAGTATTATAACTTGACCATTATTCCAGGATATGGCATAGAGATGCATAGGACATGAAAAGAATCATCATATACATTGATCAGGATCAGGAATCATATCTAAGATCTTTTCATATCTCTCCTCAGTTGAAAATATCTCTTGACTCAAAAGCAATTTCCTCTCAAAGAAATCCATAAGAACTTCAGTATAAGATCTCCTGCATGAATGAATACTCTTAGTGGAAGCAACAAAGGGCCCGGTATCATAAAGTCAATAATGTACGTTTCTACTTACGCAAGGAACGGATGGAGAGCAAGACCGGTAAAAGAAACCTTTTTATGACTGTTTTCATTGCCCTGAACAAAGTATAGAATCAACAACTTTCACAAAAATGGAAAAATCTTTCAAAACCCAAATGTAATTTAAACAGCGCACAACCTTATAGACACGAAAATAGTCAGCAATAGCTGCTCTCTGTTCATTTGTCAGCCTGAAGAAAAATGAACATGGTTTAAGTTTCATGACATGCCTTAGGAACCTAAGAAACGGAAGATTACTACTGTTAAGAGAATTACCTTCTTGCTTTCCCATCACAAACCCAGCAATGAACACCACGTCTTCCACTATATACCCAGAGAATGTGACTGAAACCAAAGTCATCTGCACCAAATAAGTTTAGAAAAGTGAAAAGTCAAGGTTCTAACCACATATATATCAGATTCCAAAACACAAAATTCCTACCTCTAAGGGAAGTATCAATAACTTTGATAGCAATTGTCATAAGCGGCCAGCACTCCAAACAAACATCAGCTCCTGAGCAGCAGTATCTAACATCATCGTAATCTGACATATCCTGTTGGAGAAAACCTTACTCAAACATGTCGTAGAACAGTCATAGTCAAAGGTTTAGTTAGACTCTGACTATTGACTATCTTCAAAGTTCAAGTCGTTGATTAGCTTACTATATCGAAAATCAGCTCCCTCTCCACTGGGGTGAAAACATTATCGCCACTCTGAGCATATGCATGCCTCTTTGAAGGCTGCAACATAGAAAAGATGAAAACTCAAACCACAGATATGGTGCTAAAAGGTTATTATAAACCCAACCACAGGCAACAATTAAAATTAACAAGAAACCATGGACAGGAATTCTATCTTTGATCTATAATTATGAATTCTTTCAAATACATCTTGTTTCTAAGTTGGTTTTCAGGATTTGAATGATTCAATTGTTAGGTCAAGTCAACGCTTGCATTATCAAATAGTTGGGAAATACAGACATAAAAAGCTTACATCAACACTGTACACAGGCCCAATATCTATTTTGACTGGACACTTTTCTTTCACCGAATTTTCAAGCTCAGACATAGAGTTGAAAGACTGGAACCGCAGATAAACCTCATTATCCAGTGTGAAAGAGAACTCTCTCCGGCTAAAGTAGGACTGGTTGCATGCAGGATGCTTCCCATCTACAAATCAGCAATCAGTTACACGTTCACAGAAGAAATAAATTTCAAGGTGTGCACATGAAAACACAAAGAAAACTGAAGGTTAGAACCAGGTTGATCGAGAGATGTGGCTTACCATTTCCATAGGACATCCATTTAAAAATATCCGCATATGGAAAGAGCTTTCCTATCACAAATAACACTTTATGTTAAGGGGAAGATTATCAAAATCACAACTCAAAATTCATATCAACGAAAAAAATGTTCAGTAAATAGCAAACACTCATTGCATGTGATTACCGATATCTTGTTACACAAACAAGAAGCAAATGTTCACATAATTGTATCTAGTTCTAAGTTTGAAGTCTTAAGTGCCTTACAGGTTACAAGTTACAAGTTACAACCACCAATTCGATTGAAGCATCTTGCTTATAAATGAAAATTCTATAGAACCATAGCTTCTAAAGCAATCAAAAACTCCATAACTATCTCAATTACATTCAAATAGAATATAAACTTAAACTAGGATTACCATAGTAAACTTTGAGATAATGAGAGTTAAATCCATCAGGAACCGCATTCCCTTGCTTCTGTTCATGTTCGTCAATCATCATGTCATCGCTGCCTTTGGAAACTTCGTCTCCAGTCATTTTTTCAGCAGAGTCCCTGCATTTTATGTCCAATCAGCATCTTCATTGTTCCAAAATGCATAGAGATTTAAGCATAGGTCTAGTAAACCCTAACATAATAGCATTGACAATATACATGTGATTGGGAGGAATAATAACTAAGACTTTCTCATACAATCAAAATGAACATCAAACAGATAATGAGAAGCTTGATTGAGCAACCTTCTGTTTTATTTTCTTCTCTTGGCACCCAACATCACAATCAAGCAGAATTAACATTACCACGAGAATGGAAAGAACAAAAAAACTAAACCCAACAATAAAATTAACGTATTAACCAGAAAAAAAGGGGTCAAATTTCAAAACCCATGATAATTATGAAACGAAATTCACATTACAATTGAATGTAAGTAACAGAAAGTAAATTTTCTTTGCGTTTCCTTCACTTTCTCGGCAACCAAACAAAAAGTCGAAGCAAAAATAAAATTGAAATGAAATGAAAGAGGGCACTGACCTCGGAGAGAGCCAAGTGAAGGAACACGAAGAGAGAGACAGAGAGCGCAAAGTGAATAAGGGAGGGGAGGCGATGAGAGAGAGAGTTGTGTGTTAAAATTGGCGGGATAGGGCAAAGACGGGGACTAGGCAAGATGGCGGGAAAAACCAGAGGAGCTATGATTCAGTGTTGCGAGGGAGTACGCGGTCCTCTCAATCTAACTGGACTGAACGTCATGAGCCTAACTTCCTGGCCCAAAAGGCCAATGTTGAGTCTGAATTTTGAAAGCCCCATGTTCAATTTCATGTGATTTATTTGTTTCTCAATTGAAGGAGAAGGGAAAACTACTTCTTCTACTTCTCCTCCTAAGCTTTGAATCGTCTCCCACCTTGTTTTTAAAAAGAAAATTTGGTTAATTAATTCTCTAAATTCTAAATTATTATTTTGTTGCAGCATGCATCTTCCATCTAAGATGAAATTACATTTAAACTAGAGATTCTACTTTACAACGAATTTGTTGTAGTTCAAATAGTTAAGAACAATTACTACTGTATTCAATGTTCCGTCTTCGAATCCTCCCTCTCTTAATATCTCTCGTATGACTCGTATGAAGTATTTACAGTCATTGATAATGTGGACCTTACAAATGGCTGCAAATTATAAGGGTGAAGTATTTTCATCCATTGATAATGTGGGTTCCACTCATCAACGCCCCAAAATTCTCCATGCCTCACCCGGAACTAACGGTAGCATTTTTCCATTGGAAAGCGCTTATTTTTTGTGACAAAAGCGGTACCGACCCAATGTGCTTTTAAGTGTTGCGCTCCCACAACTTGCTCTACTCACACGCTCTCTCCTCCGCTTTTATCAGCTCAAGACAATTACTTACAGACAAAATTCTCACTCTCAACTTCATAAACTCCGATTCCGAGTTCCGAAGTCATCTCCCAGGCTCATCTCAGCCATTGGATCAGCGCAGCTAAAGCTTTAAGCTCAAACCCACAACTACAACAACCAGTATGTTCTTCCTCGCTCTGCTTTCTGCTTTCAAATCTTTAACCAAAAGCTGTTGTCTTTGAATTAATTAATGCAAACCCATTTTGCAGCTTAACCCAAAATCGCTTCTTTGGAGCTGGGTTGTTGGAGCCTTCTCTTTGTTCCGTTCCCAGATCTAAACAACTAGCATTTGCTCCTTCTACTCACCCATTAAAGCACTCTTTGGAGCTTTCTCTTTGGCGCTTTAGACTTTAACCCCTCCGCTTTATCTCTCAGTTCCCCTCGTAAACTCTAGAAATTACCAAAAATGGGTTATCTCTGGTTTTCCCTTTCGATTTTCCTCTGCCTTAGCTACTTCTCAGTGGCGGAAGTGGTAACTTGCTCTGGGATAGTGCCCATGAGCTACCGAAACGACAAGATATCGATAACGGATTTCGGAGGCGTCGGCGACGGCGTTACATTGAACACCAAGGCGTTTCAGGAAGCGATATATCGGATTGAGCATTTGAAGAGGAGAGGAGGCACGCTTCTTTACATACCTCCTGGGGTCTACGTAACAGAGAGCTTCAATCTCACAAGCCATATGACTCTTTATTTGGCCAAAGGTGCTGTTATCAAAGCCACCCAGGTACAAACCCAACACTCTTTTTATGACCAATTCAATGTGTTCACCTAGCTTGTGCTCTACAAATTAATACTTTTACCATGGCCATAGTTAATTTGATGCCACAAAATCCACAAATTTGTGCTTCAGTTTTATTGGGTTGTGCCTTTTTTTTATTGAAAGAGTTGAGGAATGAGAGTGTAGGGTCATGCAAGTAAATGAGTGGTTTCAGAGTTTTAAGTGTGATTCTGTTCAACTTTTGTAATCTCTATGAGTGTTTGTGTTTGTTCTAAATGAGTGTTTGTGTCTATTAAAAAAAAAAAATTCCCACTTGTTTTGGCCCTGTGTGGCTTAGCAAGAATGAATGTGTGGCCTCGGGCTATGTGGTGGAACCAGGCTAAAAGCAGAAATACATGGTGGGTATATTGCACCGTGGTTGCATGTGCATATCATTTATAGAATGATGAATTAAATAGTTGGACAGCTAGATGGTTTGTCACTGATCTTGTCGTCTTTGATACTGTCACAATAAATTAGTATATTGCTGGTTCGACAAGGATAAGAATGGCTTGGTATTATTTTATTACAAAAACTATTCCTCTAAAAGTAAATATCTTCTATTAATTAAACACTATGATTTATATTTTAGGCTATAAGCCAAATCAAATATTATAGTAGTAAGTTTAACTTTGACTGTCATGAAAAAGCAACCTAACCTTTGATTATGGCATGATTTTGTGCTTAATGCGGGAAAAGAATGTGACACCCTAATCAGTGGGTCTCAGAGCGCCATACCTGATGGTTCCATGGTTTTCTGTACTTGAACTTGTAACTATCTGTCATGTTCAAAAGTAGCTGTTCATTTATTAGAATGCTCTGCTACTTTTGTTAGCTCATAACATGAGGCAATAATTTGTGCTAGCAGTTAATCTATGGGGTTCTTTTCCAAGAAACATCTTTAACTTTTTTTCTCCTCTTGGCAAATGAAAGTGAATGTATATAAAATTACAATTTCAATATGGCACAGCAAACAATTATCATAAGTTCCTTTACTGGAATGATTATAACTTTCATACTGAAAGTTATTCCAAATAATCAGTTTCCACTAATATGTCTGTGGTTTATTTGAAGCCCTGCATTTTGTACGGTAAAGCATCTCTTAGAATACATCATTTCAAAATTTTCACTATTGTATTTTTGCTGATTTGCAGCAGCAGGGTCCTAAATATTAATGCTGTAAATGCTGACGCTCATGTAAACATCATTACAACAAACCTTTTTTCCCCCTTTACTATATGATAGAAGTGAAAATTTTTTGTGAATGTTGATTTATTTTGTGGTCATTGTTTCATTTTATGTTGTGCTCCTTCCAATTCTCTTCGTACATTGATCATCAGGATACTAGGACTTGGCCGCTGATTGCTCCTTTGCCATCTTATGGAAGAGGGAGGGAGCTTCCTGGAGGAAGGTATATGAGCTTTATTCATGGAGATGGAATCCATGATGTGGTTATCACTGGTAGGTTTGAACAAGATTTAATTATTGTTTTTTTGTTTTGTTTTTGGGTGTGGTAGAGGCTGGGTTGTGGGAGTTGACATACTTCTTCTTTTTATGGGTTACCCTACATCTAATGAGTTGTTCCTTTTCAGGTGAGAATGGGACAATCGATGGCCAAGGGGATGTATGGTGGAACATGTGGAGGCAAAGAACTCTTCAGTTTACTAGACCAAATCTTATCGAATTCATGAACTCGAAAAACATTATCATTTCCAATGTGATTTTCCAGAACTCTCCCTTTTGGAACATTCACCCTGTTTATTGCAGGTAACAGCCAAACGTGGAATTTAGTTCTGCTTTTTTTTATTTATAGACAGGACCTTATATCTTTTGTTTTCCCTTATGTTTCTAGTCTTTTACAGTACTCTACCTGCCATTTTCGTTCAAAAATTATATCCGTCAGTTTGTTTTACTTATGATTGCAAAGTAGAGTCTTTTGTTCACCCTTTATTCAAACCAATTGTTTTTTGAAGCTGAATCACTTTAACGAAAGTAAATTATGAAGTTTGAAGTGAAAAATTCATCATATTCTTTTTTATTTGCTGCCATTCTGAGTTGAGTTAGTGACTACAGAAACTTGGAAGTAAGTTATAAATTTGCAATAAAGAAGGGGGTTGAGGGCGTCCATACATGTTGTTCAGGTAGGTCAGAAGGGATTGATTGTGGGAAGAAAGGTTAGTTGGCGCCTTATTGTTAATGTTCTGATTGATTGCCTCACTTCAATGAGAGAAATACTTTTGGAACTTCTGTCAGAAACTCACTTTGTAAACGGTTGAAGAGAAGGTAGCATTTCATAGAGGGCTGTACAAAAGTTAAATAACCAGTTCAACCTGAGGTTGGATGCTATCTGATAATGTTTAGGTTGGAAAGTTTTTATGGATGAAAGTCAAATTTCTTGATGTATTTACTTCGACTTTGCCAATACATGCTGATTATAAGCTGGAATTACATCAAATCGACCAGCTAAATTATAGTACAAACACAACCATCCTGTTTCATGTTTTCCTAAACTGCCCTTATGGTGCTTGAGCCTAATGCACCTTCTGCAAAGAATGTACTGCTGAGCTGTAATTTTGATCTGATACATACTTTTCTCCTTTGCAGCAACGTTGTTGTCCGGTATGTCACAATTTTGGCTCCATATGACTCTCCCAACACTGATGGAGTTGATCCAGGTACATGCCTATTATCTAAATAAGCCACATCTTGTTTACTGCGGAAAAGACAAGGGTCTGTGCATTATATAGGTGTCACGATTGAGTATGGAAGAGTCACAATTGTCTATTTGCCTCTAGTTTTAAGTGTGAAGCCTCTTTATGTTCATGTTCATAATGTATATCTTTGTATTCATATGTGCAGATTCAAGCTCTAATGTCTGCATAGAGGACTCATACATATCTACTGGAGATGATCTTGTGGCTGTAAAGAGCGGATGGGATGAGTACGGGATCGCTTATGGCCGCCCTAGTTCGGGCATTACCATCCGCCGGGTTAGAGGATCATCCCCATTTGCTGGAATTGCGATCGGAAGTGAAACCTCTGGTGGGGTGGAGAATGTCTTGGCTGAACACATAAACCTTTACAACATGGGAGTTGGCATCCACATCAAAACAAACATCGGCCGGGGAGGGTTCATAAGAAACATCACAGTTTCAGACGTGTACATGGAAAAAGTCCGAAGGGGAATAAAGATTGCAGGAGATGTTGGAGACCACCCAGATGACAAATACAACCAAAATGCTCTCCCAGTCGTGAAGGGCATCACATTGAAGGACATTTGGGGCTTGCAGGTTCAGCAGGCCGGCGTAATACTAGGTCTGAAGAACGCCCCTTTCACCGGAATCTGTCTCTCCAACATCAATCTACACGGCATGACGGGATCAAGATCGCCACCCTGGAAGTGCTCGGACATTAGCGGGGCCGCCCATCTGGTTAGCCCTTTACAATGCTCAGAGCTGAGCAGTGCCCAGCAAGCATCTACATGCCCCAACTACTCTTAAAAATTTCTATTTATGTAACTCTTCCTCTCTGCTCCTCTAAGCTACAAGAATTCAGCTCTGTATTTTCTGTTCTTTTTCATCCAACTACTCCTAAAAATTTCTATTTATGTAACTCTTCCTCTCTGCTCCTCTAAGCTACAAGAATTCAGCTCTGTATTTTCTGTTCTTTTTCATTTTCCTACCATATAAAGTAGAGAAAATTTCTGGGTTCAGATGCAATCACATAGCAAACCATTCTTTTATAAATAAAATATATCTAGTCATAGTAGTACAAACTTACATAGATACGTAGATGCATAATACAAATAAGATAAGATGCTACATCTCCCATGGATGCATGGTTATTTACAGAAACAGAGTCTCATACGATTACAAGCTGGAAAGTAAAACCAGAAACAGATAAGATTAAGATAGTCGCTTCAAAACTCAAAAGCGGTTCAAGAACTTGCGGAAACTCCTCATCAAACCACCCTCGTGCTCTCGTTCGTGTTCATGCCTGTGCTCTCTCGGCTTCTCCATTCCTTCAAATTCTTCGCCGTCGTGGTCGTGGTCGTGGCGGTGGTGATGATGGTGATGCGGCCTCTCCAATTCCATGTCGTCGTCGTGCCTGAACGGGTACCTGGGCCCACCGTGGCGGAAACTGCCCCACCTAGGAGGGATCTGGCGCGGTCCGCCGCGTAACACCGAATCGGACGCCAAGTCGTCACCGAGGATCATGTCATCACCGTACGGAACGACGTCGCGGTCGCGTTCTCCTCCGTGGAAGCGTGGGCTCCACGGCCCGACATGGCGGCGGCCATGGCGGCAACGGTGTCCGTGACGGAACGATAACGGGAAGGGGCGCCTGGGGAAATGGCGGTTGACGGGGCGGAAGCTGATGATGGTCAACGGAACAGACTCGCTGTGTGTGAACTCAGTCGACTCTTCGTTGGCCAAGATGGTGGGGCCATCAGAATCCGGAAGCTTCGTATCGGCGGCCTCCGGTATCCATTCGAAGACCTCGGCGGGTTCGGAGTCGCGTTTCTCGCTGGGTAAGAATATGGTGGTGGCGGGCTTGGGTTCGGATTCGGGTAACTTGGTACTGGCAAGATCGCGGCCGTTGGTTTCCTTCTCGGGTAGATCGGACGGCGTGCGGGCGTGGGAGAAGGAGAAGAGGAAGAGGAGAGCGACGAGGAAGAAGACGAGTTTGGCCATTTTGCGAGTTGGAGAAGATGAGCGGTTGGTGGTGATATATATAACTTATAAGGGATGTGTTTCGGGCAGATCGGGCAGTTGGGTTTGAAAATTGTGACTATTTGAGTGAGGGGAGGAGGGAAAGGCGGGCAGCGGGCAATGGGGTGACCGGCCACGTGATTGGAGGGAGGGGGTTTCCGGTTAGTTTGGGTTCACAGGAGAGCTGTTAGTTGGAGGGGATATGAGATTCGACTGAGTTGACTTGGAAAATGCGGGCACGACCACATGGATACAATTTCCAAATAAGGGCTCGTTCTCTTGTCGAATTTACATATTTGCCATTCACCTAAGCTAACTAGGAGCATCTCAAGAGACTCTTCATCGTTTTACTATACTCTCTCATAGTGATGAGGTGACATAAATATGAAAGAGCTAAAAGTCATCTGACTTTTGGATTGATTGTATTGTTTCTTGTTTTAATGTAGAAAATTTAATTGAAGAGCTAAAAGTCATTAGATGAGCAAAATTCGGGTCTCGCTAATAAATGAGTTTGCTAAAGAATCTTTTGTAATAAACAAAACTCATTTAACGAAAGACTTTTTTTTTTTTTTTTTAGGGGAGATCCAAGGGTATCCACCGCCGACAGCAATGACTAATCCCTTTCGCCGCGGGAGCTCTCCCAATGGAGGTAAACGGCTGGCCACGAAATGCGCTCCATTCCCATGGGCGGGGATCGAACCCCCAACCTCATGGTTAAGGAATGAGTTGAGCTATCACCACACCACATCTCATGGTTATTTAACGAAAGACTTTGATGAGTCCTTTTGTAGTAAATAAAATTTACAATACGAAATCTTTGGGGCGACTAGCATCCTATATGTCAAATTTAAAAGCATGTACAAAAGTACAAAGCAACTAAGTGCTAAATATAGGTAAATCTTTTCTAGTGATCAAACACAACATGTTGAATTAATTTAGAGAGAATCACGCACAACCCAAACAATGATTAAATCCCCGATCCAGAAACCAGAAGCACATGTATTAAGACCTACAACACAAATCCGCCGCTCAATGGTAGAAAAGAATAATCCGTATGGAAAGTCAAAAACTAAAAAGAAATAAAAATCCTAAATAGAAAACAAATCACAAGAAACTCCTACAGAGTTTCTAAAAATTATTGGTCTAAAACAAAACTAAGAAACAAGACTATCGCTCCACATCTTCTGGGTAACTTGAAGAAAATCATAGTGCCATGCCAGCTAAACCCATAGTCACGCATTGGTTAAACCCAAACTCAACGCAACCAGACATCTTCCCCTCTTTAGAGCTCCAAATTATGTTGAAGGGAGCCAACTCCTTGTGTACATGGGCTAAAATACTGTGACTACATTATGACGACGACATCATTTCACGACGACTGCTTCTATATCACAAAATAAATTAACCATTTTGAGGGAAAATTGAGAGAATGAGAAAAGAAGGAGTAAAATTAGAGGGAATGAGGTAGAGAAGGAGACAGCCAACCCCCAAAAGGGGGCGGCAACTAAGACTTTTTTTCTTAGAATTTTATCTTATTAGAGACGCAATTGAAATTTTGCAAAAAAAATAATGACAAAGGGGCTTCTCTCAAATAGTAAATAAGTATAGAAACATTTTAATATCCAAACTTAGAAAATCAAAAGGGGTCAAATAACATTGGAGAAGGGGGTATTTGAGTAAAACTGGGTGCCGGGTGTGAGAAGAGGGTCGGAAATGACGTCACTCAGGACGTGTTAGAAGGGGGAGAAAACGAGTGAGGCTGACCAAGACTCTGGGAGGGCGACTTTGGAACAGAAGACGCATGCTCACCACCGCCATTTTATGTTGCGATTGCTACGTGGCGCAGTTGTAGTATTTTTTACTCCAACAGAAATAATATCCCAAAAATATATTATTTTTTTGGAGATCGTGAAGTTTGAATCTTCTTTTCTTATCATTAGTTTTGTTTATGCCATATCTTAATCAATGCCAGCTTGAACCAAATACTGCAAGTGGGCCATTTGAATCTCATGCTCCCAAGTTTTGGGCAAGCCTTTTCTTAACCCAACTCCACAAAATTTGGAGTGATCTTGTCTTGTGCCCTTTGGTGTAGACATTCTTGGGCTTACATTGTCAACAATCCTATTTTAAGCAATCTAAATATTTTCTTAACTCCAAATTTTTCTTCAAGATCCTTTGTAACTCAGGTGATTAGAAGCATTTACTCAAATATATCTAAATTTCTTTTTAAAAAAAACTCCACTGGCCATTCATTCAAAAATGATTCTTTTATAGCAATGGAAATTCTTACGGTGCATCGTGGAAGAGTCTTTCATAATCACTCGAATGTTTTTTCATACAAGTGATATTGAGTGAAGGGAGTTTTCTCGCACATACCGTCAAAGTGTCATGAAGGCATCACTCGGATTTTAGAACTTACAAGTATTTTTTATTTATTATGACCAATGCTGTCAGAAATAGGGCTGTGCAGAATCCAAACCAATCCGTTAAAAATGACCAATCCAATTCAATCCAATTTTCATTGGTTTCGACAACATTGGTGGATTGAATTGGATCAAAAAAATAGAAATTCAGTTGGATCGGTTCGGATGATGGATCAAGAATTGAAAATCCAACCTAAACTGAACCAATCCAATATACACATGAATATACATTCATATTGTATAATATCTACACTTTCATCTTGTTTCTCACTAATATATTAATCTTACTTTCGAAAAAATTAAAACATTAACATATTAAATATATTATTATATTATTATATTAAAAATTAATATATTAATGCCATATATTTGATCATATTGAATTTTGAATTATATGTAATGAAAGATTATGAAGTTTTTTTTTGTGATTATTATTTTTTCATACAAACCGATCATCCAATCCAATGCACACTGGATCGGATTGGATTGGATCTTGACATCCGACCATATTGGATTGGATTAAATAGAAAAAATATTTTTGGTAGATTAAATGAGAAATGGGTGGGTATTTATAGAGTTTGGAGTGAGTTTTGGGGTTGGATCTGATTTAGATTAATTTAAAATATTATTTTGATCGTTGGATTTAAATTTTAGGCGTTGATCTTTTTTTTACCGTTAAAACAATTTATATTTAATCTAGATAGTTGATTTAAGTTACTATTAGAATATATAATATATAAAACAAAGTTTGAATTGTTGTCGTTGGATTCCAACGACAACATGACCATGTCGCGACACTTGGCACGCTGATTGTGTTAGTCAGCCAACATCAACTGCAGCGCAGACCCCATTCTGACTCCCTTGCACATGGCTGCGTTAGCAGTCAATGGGCTTCACCACAAAATTTTTGGGTCCTAGCATTAGCTGGATTGCTATTTGGCCCCAAGTTTGGGTTTTTCCAAATTTTGGCCCATTCATTTTCTTGGATTAGGAGAGCATTTGGGCTAAAATTTGGGATATTTTGGATTTTGCCTCATGAGTTGGAGCTCGCCTTATTGTTGGTGGAGGAGAGGGTAAAACGGGCAAAAAATAAATTTTTTGTATTTCAATTGTTATTGGATGTAAAATATCCATTGAAAAAAATCAACCGTTTAGAATTACTTTCCGGTTTCTACAGGGTTTAGGATTGCTTTCCTGTAGCAATATTGATTAGGTCATTATAAATACATGCTTTGTAATTGAGAAATTATGAAATTATCTACAAGAGTGATCTCTTTTAAATTTTGGATCTCTTCTTAGCAATCGATCCTCAGTTGTCTCTAAATTCTCATATCAAAATTTCTCCTCCCCTCCTCTTCAAGGGGGGGAGGGGGAGTGAAAAATGATCTGTTTTTCTTTATCATGGAGATTTTGCCTCTTTCTTGACTCTGACATACCCTTCTCTTCAGGGGGAGAAAAGAATTGAAGAGAAGTTTCTATGTTCTTAAGCCGTGTTCACAGGGTTTCTGTGTCCTTTAGCCGTGTTCACAGGATTTCTGTGTCCTTAGCCGTGTTCACAGGGTTTCTATGTTTCTTTACATTCCTCGTATCGTATTCCTCATATCCTCGTATCATATCCTCGTATCCTAAATCGAATTCCTCATATCGTCTTCCTCTTACCCAAAATCACATCCATCATATCGTATTCCTCGTATTTCCAGTTTCAGATTCAGGCCTAAACCCGAATCCTCATATACTCTTATCCCGAAACCCTAAACACATTTTTTTCTCTTATTCTTCAATCCTTCCGCTGCCATGGATATCGTTTCCCAAACCACCGACTCTACTCCATCATCCTCCCAAATTATTACTATTCATAATGACAACGCTCCGTTTCCTACCGGCATCATCTTGACAGAAACCAATTATGCCTTATGGTCTCAAGTCATGGAGTTATGTATTGCTAGCCGCGAAAAATTGGGGTACCTTACCGGCGACACTCCGCAACCCTCTAAGCTCTCCTCCACCTACAACAAATGGTGTACGGAGAACTTTCGGGTTAAGGGGTGGCTCATCGACTCCATGTCTCCCGACTTGATGGGTCGTTTCATCCGTTTCAGTACCGCCAAAGAACCTGAACATATTCAAAACCATATTCATATTTCAACATGGTATCAGAGCCAAGGCCCGTACAAGCTAACGAAGCTTGTCGCCAAGAAGGAGAAACAAGTCGGACTCTTAAAGAAAAAAAAAAAAAGAAAAAAAAAGAAGAAGAAAAAAGAAGAAGCCAACGAAGCTTGAAAAGAGCCGACCTCTGAGTTCCATTGTAAACAAGTGGGCCCAACGAGAGCCGACCTCTGAGTTTCAATTGCCGATGTGTGGATCTTCATGTGTGAACCACTAAAAAGGGGTTACACGTGAGGGGGAGTGTTGGAATCCCAAATCAGTGGGGTGAAAGAAAACAAATGAGTTTAAATAGAATTACCACACTCTAACTAATATCGAGGCCTTTTGTGGTAAAACCCCACACCTGACGGATTGGGCAGGTGGTAAAGTGGGGACAGTATCGGTGTTGTTAGAGTGGGACCCAACGGGCAGATCCAAAACTTTAGCATGGTATCAAAGCAATCGATCCTCAGTTGTCTCTAAATTCTCATA